CCCCTTGTAATTGAACAGATTGGAAGCACACCGCATTCCCGCAAAAAAAAGAACGCACAAGACATCCAAACTGTTTGCATGGCAAACTCTTCCAATCGAAACCCCCCCATTTCTCACTATACCCTTCCCATCCTCCGCCCTTCCCATCCTTTCCAGAACTCCACCTGCGGGGCACAGGGACCAGCCTCCCCACTGTTCTTCTGAGCCCAAAGGGGCTCGGGGCGTGGCGCTTGGCGTTTGAAGCTCAAGGAAGATGGAGAGATTCGCCAAACGGTACTGTCAAGGTAGTGGCACGGTTTTCAATACAGGTTTAGTGGGGATCGACTTTTCTATCTATTTGGGGGGTCTATAAACGTCAAACGGAGATTGAAGTTTGGGGCTTGTTGGACCTTGACTTGAAGGTCGAACCTGCAAGTCAAGGGAGGGTCGCGCTGTGCGCCATGCTACCCGGCCCGGCCTTGTGGCCCCACACAGGCACCGTTCATCATGAAAGCCTTTTCCACACATCTGTCGGGGTCTGGGTGCCGGTGCTGAACTGCACCAGCCCACATCTTTTTGAGTCAGCTGAAAGGACACACTTTCGAGCTGGGCGAAAAGCTGCAAGTGATGGCGTGGTCTGTCCACTGGGCTGTGAGGGGCTTATCCCAGCGAGGGTCGGTGGTTGATGATGTTTGAGAATGGATAAGTTGGATAAGGTTCAATTGGATAATGCAAACCAGGCCGAAAAGTGGGCTCCTTCCCTGAAACGGTCGGGAACAAAGCCCTGACATCTCTTGCCCAAAAATGATCTGCTTCGCGCATCTTCGCGCTGCCCCTGGGAGCTGAAAACAGCTGAGAGGGCCGTTTTTCATGCGTTCGAGACTTCCTGCTCCTCCGTCTCAAAATCGTCACTTCCTTAGAGTTCTCTTGGGAAGCAATGCACCCTATTTGCCCATAAAGGCATTCAGCAGTAGGGCTACTGACCAACATAGCCGCGTCTGTGCCTAACGACGGGTGTTTTGTGCAACCGAGCTCAAGCCGTGCCGAGCTTCTTGTCCGTTTGCTGCAAAATGGCGTCGATGACCTTGTCGATGCACTTGGCCACCGGCCCATCCGGATGGAGTTGGGAGAGCGGCAATCCCTGGTCCCCCGCCGCAGCCACCCGGCCGTCCAACGGCACTGAGCCCAGGAACGGCACCTGGTCCGGTGAGTCGCGGAGCATGCTGGTGAGTGAGCCACCGCGTCCCACGTGAATCGCATGGAAAGGGTTGGGGGCATGACCGAAACCAAGGCACCAATCAAATCAGCAAAATCCCTGCAGAAACGAGAGGGAGTCGCACCTATAGAGTACACCTGTTTCTCAGACCATGCCTCCATCTGCTGGCACATGGCTAAAGCTCCCCCCCCGTGGAGGGCGAGAAAATGCGCTCGGTATGTCCACAAGACGGGCAGGCATAGCCACTCATGTTCTCGACCACGCCCAGCACGGGCAAGCTCACTCGACGGCAGAAGTTGATCTCCTTTCGCACATCCATTAAGCTCACCTCCTCGTCACCGTGCGCGTGCGCCCATTGGTCTGGATGATTCTTCCCCCTTTCTTTACGGCCACGGGGGCGTGTGCCTTACACCCCAAAGAATGCCACGTCCCAAACCTCTGTTCCATGCATAGCCAAACACGCAACTTGCATCATTTGGGGGGGACTGATGGCAATCCAACTTGCACCTCCCACCAAAAGCCCGCTCTTCCTTGGTGCCAAAGGGCGGCCTTTTGGGGTGCGAATGCCCCAAAACCTTCAGGCGCTCCTTTTCTCCGACCGCGCCTGGGGCGTGGTCACAATGATGGCGCCATCAATCTTGGCATCCTGTAGGTAGGTCACGATGGACAGGTGCTCATCAGAGGTGCCTGGTGGAGTATCGATAATGAGAGCGTCTAACTCGCCCCAGGTCACATCCGTCAAGAACTGCTTAATCAGGCCGTTCTTCCGGGGGCCGCGCCAAATGATGGCATCATCCTGAACAACATACGGCTGGAGGCGGAAAGGAAGCACCAGCAACACCCTCACACTCTGAGAATATCACTAGTAATCCCACGTTCTCTAAGCAAGAAGAGAACCCTTGATTAAATTCAAGCTACTCGCAACACGCTTGGGCCTCGCATTGCAGCATTGTCGCTTTTTGATCGGTTCTGGACCCTCCCTCCAACATGAACCATAACAATAAACAAAGAGCAGAAACTCACTCTCCTGGTTGGGCAACATGAAGCCAATTGACATCACCGCCAAGTGGTCATCCACATAGATGGGCGACCACCCCTCGCTGCTCTGGTGCACATCCTGGCCCAGCAGGCCCAGCATGCGCGGCACTGAGGGGCCACAGATGTCCACGTCCAGAAGCCCAACATCCATGCTCCGCGCGGAGAAACCAAAGGAGAGCTGCGCGCTGATGGTGCTCTTTCCAACCTTGAGAGAGGAAAAGAAAGAAAAAGAGAGAGAGAGAGAGAGGGAGGGAGGGAGGGAGGGCTAGGGCTAGGGCTAGGGCTAGGGCTAGGGCTAGAGCTAGAGCTAGTGCTAGAGCTAGAGCTAGAGCTAGAGCTAGAGCTGGAGGGAAGGTGGAGGAAGATTGAACTGACTGAAGCGGTAGCCTGGCCAAAGCAAAGGGATTAAGAATTTGACCCTCGACACCAAGCAGCTCACTACAAAAACCGGTGGAATCCCGGGTGCCCATGTAAAAATACTACCAAATTAAAAACTCATGTCGGAGACCCCTAAATACTGTTTATATATATATATATATCTGTGTGTGTGTGTGCGTGTGTTAAATATAGTGTGTATATATATATATGTATATGTATATGTATATATTTCCACCAAGGCCGCGCAACCCGCATGGCACAGCCACATCACCTTTCGAATCTTTTGTTGTTAGACTAATCAAAACGATATCACTAATCATTATTTTACTTATATAATGGTGTGTATAGCGGGAAGAGGAAGGCTGGAAAAACCCTTCGATCTAGAGTCTCTAGAGGTAAATTCCATTTTTGATACGAGTTTCACAAAGGAGTTTATATAAACTTTCCTAGGCAACTTTCCAGTTTGGAAGCTCGACACACCCGACACGGTGTCCATCTTTGCGGGTCCCCCTATTTTGGGCACCCCCTACTAAGAAAGACGACACACACTAGAGTTATTTTTTCTTAGGGGGGGACCCGTGTTTTGATAGGTGGAAGGTATGAATATGTACGAATAAAGTGTCCAAATGGCACTGCCGTCTAAAGTGCTTCCAAGCAACCCCTCCTTTGCCTGACAAGACCAAAATCTTTCTCTTCACCTCAAGAGGTCCGTGCGCAGGACGAGTGAAACGGTGAGCCGAGAACGTGAAAGGAAAGCGACTCAATCAGACTTCGGCCCCGAAAGCCGGTGGTCTAGTGGTCTACCCACCAGTCATCTACACTCCCTGGAACTCATCATGGTTAAGTGGATGGCATAGGCACGAAGACCATGAAATCCACTACAAACAGGTGGTTTTTCACTTCCATGTTAGTCCCAGGGAGAGTATCACTTTCGGCACTGAACCTCCCAACCAGAGCAGTCTGTCTCTCTCTCTCTCTTCACCTGGCCTGGCTAAGCCGATCCTGCACATCTGCCAAGGCCGGGTCCTTCTTCTTGGCCTCTCCCGAGGCACACACGGACTGATTGGGGCAACCGGCGCAGGAGGAAGCCTTCCCTGCGTTCTCACCTCAGCTGAAGGCGGGGTAAAGCTTGCGCACCGAAGCGGGAAGCTTGACACTCCTCTCATCCGCCCTGAAAACCGGTCTTCACAACCTGACGAACCGCCAGTTGGTAGTGGATGGACATTTCTATGTGTCATCGCCTACGAAGCACCGGTACCTCATTCTACCTCAAGAGATCCCGATGACCGGTGCCATTGGACCATACATCACATCTTGCACAAACTGGATCTACTGAGGCACCTTCCACCACTTCCATCACTTCCACTTCCCCATCCCATCCACGTCACTGCTCACGCCGGGGCAGCTTTCTGGCGCATCCGCCGGCCGGTCCTCCGGCGCCACCGGCTTCGCCTCCTCCGCGGTGGCCGCCTCCCCGTCCGGCACCGGCTCCGCCGGGGCGTCCGGCGCTTGGAGCTTCTCGAAGCCGTTGGGGCGGCTCGTCCCGGAGCGCGCCCAGAACAGGGCGGTCGCCACACCCACGCCCACAGCGGTGCCCAGGGAGAAGGTCCAAAGTTGCGACATGGCAGACATGACGTTCAAAGTTCAAAAGCGGTCCGAGCATTGAATCCTTGAAACTGTGGCGACTGTGCGGATTGCTTGTCACGTGCGTCTCAACAACTGTCTCTTTCGTTCTCTTGCATCGAAGTTGGGGCCCCAACTGGCTGCGGTGCCGATATGTCCAAGGCTGCCTGGACGACTTCATTGTCGTTGTCGTCAGCTTCCTTATTCAAGAGGGTCAACTGTCCCACGCTGGCTACGTGGCTTTTTGTGCCATGGCCGAAGCTGAATCCCATCAGAATCTCGATAGACCATACTAAACAGTCTAGGCAGTCTAGAAAAGAAATAAAAACAAACAAACAAACAAACAATGAACCAGTACGCGTACCGATATAGAACCCAATAAAAGATATGTTTTGTTACCAGTTCTTCAACAAGTGAACCACAAACAATCCGATTGCAATGGCTTCTCCACAAGAAGTAGTTTTGATGCTTCTAGAACCCCTAGCCAAATCCATCCATCTTTCCTTGGCTGAAACTCTGGAGGAACATCCAGATGCTTTTCCAAATGCTTCCAGACCACCAGTGGCCCAACGATCCTGTCAATCCAGTGGCAGCCGGCATTTCATTTCTGTCGCTGTGTCCAAATCTTCAGCATTGAGCAGCCCGTGCTGCAGAGTGCTGAGAAAGCACTACTAAAGCACGTGTACCGGAACATTATCTCAAAGCATGCGAATGATTCATACCAAAGTGCACCTACTAAGCTGTTTCTGAAGCAAACCCTCTTGAATCACAGGATGTTCGGGAGGGCTCCCAAGCTGGGCTTGAATCCGGTACCAACAAGTGCTCAGATCGCACGATCTGACCCTCGGGAAGTTCACAAAAAAGATACCAAAAAAAGGAAGCAAGCACTTAGGCTGTGCAACACTGCCTTCTACCTGACTTTGACCAGGATCGGTCCATACGGCCAAATAGAGCCCCCTGCCCTCCGGGCAGGGGCTCCCAGGAGTTGGGCAGCGAGTCAGCTATTCAGACAGGAGCTCCTTCATTTCTGCAGTCTCATAGGGACGCGTCCAAAGGAGTGTGAGGGCGGCTGTGTACCATTGTTCTGATTCCAGCCCATGGCGCGCCACTTCTTCTCCACCAGCTTGCAAAAAGATACTGGTCGTCTGCTGATCTCCTCCATGTAATGAGCCAACTCCCGGCTAGCATCTTCATGCTGCAGGCGGTTCGGCGGAAGCCTCACATCCTTAAGGCCAAATGAAACCCTGGGATGCAAACCTCCCTTGAAGACCTGCAAGACTCACATCATTTGAGCGTCAGCGAAACGGGGTGAAACCCGAGGCAGGCGGAAATGGCGGGTTTCTGCAGCGCAGCGCGTCTCGAAGCGAGGCCGTGGAGCTCCACGGCAGGAGGGGAGCACTGTAACCTTCAAAAGCTATATAGTGAACGTCCTCCACCCAGCCACAAGCATACGGGCAACATGTTAGCCAAGAAATGTTAGCCAAGTGTCTACTGGCAAGGGGCCAAGGTTCACAGCAAAAAAGACCTGATGTTCGTTTTGGGGACACAAATCCTTCGTTAAACGGACTCCTTAGTCGCCAAGGATCCTGTCCAAGTAGCAGGAAATTTGTGTCAAAAAAGGAGGGTCGTGGCGATCGTTTGCCATCCTCGTTGGTCAAAAGATGAGTCACAAGACTCAACTGATGCTGAACGCACATGTTGCCACCGAAATATCAGAAGTGAGTGGGCAATTTCTCAATGGATACACTCTCGTCGATTGAGTATCTGCCTGTTACGCTACATTTCAGCCATGGAACTGTCAGCGGCTACCATACCCCCCCCACTTAAACCTCCACGACAAAGGGGTCAAAACTTGTGAGGTCCACACTAAACAGATTGCAACCATCGCCCCTAAGCTACCACATAAATCAAACAGTGAATCTGCTCCGACAAATGTCAGGTCTTGCTTGGGTTTCTGATCCTCCGTAAGAAGTTTAACAAGGATGCAAAAACCGAACAAACCATTTCGACTAGTATACATTAGTAGTGGAAGGTCGTCGTCCAAGCGTCTGACTTTCCACGTCCGTTGTTTTTCCTGGGTAGCTTATGTGATCCACATATTTCCAATTTCCGTTTCCAGCACCAAACCAGCCACGCCACATCGTCGGGCGTCGCCGCAAGGGAGCACCAATTGAAGAACTCTGGCATCGGCAGGGTGTCCTGAATCACACTGATACAAAAGGAATGATAAAATAGTACAGAAAGTGCAGGAACAGGACAAGTTCAGCGTCTCTACAAAGCAGTTCGGGCAAGAGAATCGGTGAAAGTTGGCTGGAGAGCATGGGTTGAAAACAATTGCACGTCCCATGCATGTGCCCGGTCAGCACAGACCTGGCCCACCAACGTTGAGCACTTAAAGGGGCCACTGTGCGGCATGCGAAGAACATGGAGAAACCAAACCACCCAGAACGGGCATGCTATCACCTATCCAGAATTTGGCCATCCTGCCACCGAAAAATATTCTTCATTCTGGCCCCGGTCACGCACACCAGGGGCATCCAACGCCTCTTGGTATCAAAGGCACACGTCGCAACATCAACCCGCCTGTGAGTGCACTGAAAAAATTAAGAGTTGACGAATCACGCACTGGTTGGGTTTGCCGCTCGTGCTTGGACCACGTTTCCTCAGCCAGAAGCTGCAGCAACTGGCACAGCGCAGGACATCCACCAACACCCACGTGGACACTTGCCGGAGTGCGGTGCCGCTAGGGCCGCTAGGGATGGAAGGCAATGAAGATGAGGTTGAGTCTATCACTGACATCCAGCCCAGCCCTCAGATTCAATACAGGATGCTGGTCATTTTCGCCATCCACGGCCCCCTCACAGCCGCCCCTGCCTCGATCAACTCCGCATCTGGCTTTGCAGGGGGTGGCGGCCTGAGATAGGTGAAGTATGTACAGTAGTTCTTGCTCACGGTTGGCTTGTGCAACTTGCAAGGTCCGAAGAACTCTACAGTCCCATTCCCATCAACCATCCACAAACGAAAACCCCAATCTACCTTCCGTAAACAGGGATGGTGACTAGTGTGACCCTAGCATTTGTCAGCATGCTAGCGGCCTCAAATTTGTCGTCAAATCACCCTCATCAAAAGCACACAAATCGTCCAACAACTGCATCGACTTCAACCAAGTCTGGCGACACGTTGCCATCTATCAGGCGTGCATCCGGCTTCCTTGGTTTGCAGAGACCCTCGCCAAGGGGGCAGCGTGCTTAACCCCGGTTCAGTGCACTAACCGTCACCGTCACTAACCATGGATTGTGGACAGTCGAGCGAACAGCCGGTGACCATCCTTTTTGCATGTTCCCATGTTCCGACGATGCCAACGGTGCCACACCACATGGCCGGTGCGGCCACCGAGCAACGCTGACATCTGGACCGAGCTCAGGTCGAGCTTTGGCCCATCCATTCCCGCACACACCCCGCGCCCTGAGCTTCAAGGCTGCGAGACACAGTGACGTCCCAAATATTTTTTTTTGAATATGTCCGCTTTAAACGTGTCCACATGGGCACAATGCTCCTGCAAATGGTGCAACGCCCCTCTTGACCTCAATTAAACTCAAATTTTACAAACACAACGGGAGGGCCAGGACCATCAAGCGGGCGAAAAACAAAAATAAAAAACGAAAATGTCAAGTTTTGTCATTCATACATACAGGATTACATAGATGTTCATGTTTGCTCGTGTCCAGGTTCTAACTTGTGAACCCGCGTCCGCAGCGCGCGTGGTCCAAAAAAACCGCTTACCTCACATGGTAGTGGAGCTCTGACGATCCGTAGTCAGTGTGCCCGGGAGGATGAGCATCTAGATCGGTCGGCCCGAGCAGCGGCATGGGTTGGATGCTGGACTGGATTGGCCTCCAACCCTGAGTGAGGCATGCATCCTTGGTTTGGTTTGGATGTCGGATGATTTTGGTACATTGATGGACGCATGGTATGATACAGGTGATGTTCTCGTGGATGTTTCATTGGTTGTTGAGATCAATTCAATTTCATCAGTGCAGCGTTGTTCATTGCTGAGTGGACAGAAGCATTGCTTTGGGGAACCCGTTGGAGACATTGCATAGAAACCGCTTTGACCTGGTCGCAGTTTAAGCATTGTTGGTACATTTATGCATTCATGGCGGCAACCTGTTCAGTGGCTTTGGCAATCTACAGAAGCAAAACGCGCTTGAACCTGAGAAACAAGAGGAGGTTTGGACATCAGGTGAAGAAACGCTGGAGTGGAACTTTGAGACGAAGTCACATGCTTGTGAAGTTGCAATCAAAGGGATTTGCATTCCTCTTGCTGGTTCATTTGATGTATATACGGTGCACAAGCTGTGGACAGCCAACAGTTTCAGCCATTCATGACTGGTTTTGGCAGCTTGTTGCAACGGCGGGAACAGGTGTTGCAAGGAGTGACACAAAATCATTGGAATCAGCAGGTGGAATCCTCAAAACACCAGAACAGTTTGATTCCAGCGACAGCCTGAGCTGCGACAGCTTGTATTGAGGGTACGGTACGAACGCGTGAGGCACGCGTGTGACAAGAAGAGCCTTGGCACGGTGTCGAGTTGGGGCATGACGCGGTCAACGAAGGTCTTCCAAAGCACAAATCGTTAAAACGAACCTGACCTGCTCAATTGAAGCGCTGAACCCTTGGTGTATGATGTGAGTATGGTTTTTCAAGTTTCCTTGCAAAGTCCCACTCTGTTTGTCCCCAGTCCACTGTCTGAATGGAATCTGATGGAGTCAGCTTCTCGATCTGTTCGATCGATTCTGCGTACAACAGCCAGTTCAAGAAACTGTGTCTCCAAATTATCCAAACGCACTCAATGCAAAACAATTCGAATCTGATGTTTAGTTGGGGGTTCTGATGCGGTTGTGTCTTGAAGGGATTCGACAACACCTCAGCTTGCAATCACGGAGACCACTTCTTATCAAAAGTGAAAACACAAAAAAAACGAACATTATCCTATGAGCGGAGTTCGAGGCTTTGGAGTGTTGAAGACATGGCCAAACCTTTGAACAAACAGGCTCAACCACACAATTCAGGAGTGGCGGCACTGGAAGGTAACAAAGGCGAAGGAAATTGTGGTGAGAAGGGCAAAGCAAACAAAGGTGCAAAAGGAAAGGGTAATTGGTCAGATGCATGGCAATGGGGAGTTTTGTGAGAGTTTTCATTGGGGCTGAACAATTTGAGCGGGGTGGTATACGTCATGGATTCAAAACCTGCGACCTTTGGTTTGTTGGCTATGAAGGTCATGATCATACAATCAATGGGGTACAAGACATTGAAAAAAACAGGGAAACCGTACCACAAAGGAAGAACAGCTAGATAGAGTTGAGAGATACATCCAAACCCGTCAGGCGACAGGCCAGCACATTGATGGCTTGTGTTGAACACAATGTCCATGAGGTGCTGGATGGTTTGCATCGTTTGAAGACATGGGTGTTGGTACGCTCAGTTTTCTTGCTGGACACATTCCATGAGCATTCAGCCATTCGTTCTACTGCCATTGAACCTGTACTCGGCCACAAGCACAAACACCTGGAGAAGTACAGCGCAGAGATCCAATTTGCTAAGTCAGGGGTGGTTGATGAAGACACAAAAACAATGAGAGACCATGACGGTTCGTATGAGCCGACAGACGTTGAAAGAGAAAATGCGCGGAGAAGGAACAACTGTATTCAGTGAAAGGCCTGTAAAACGATTGTCGACCTTGGATGGGGAGAGCCTCCTTGGAAACCCAATGATTCCAAGTAGACCAAGCCAGCAGCTGGAAGTGGATCAAGAAGGACAACCGGTAGAGAAAAGAGAAGCTGCAGAAGTTCATGAACATGAACACGAAAGCAAGGCGGCGCGTTTTGAGAGAGCTGAAAGCCCAAGTTCAAGTCCCAAAGTCGGTTTATTTTCTCCGCTACTTCCGGGAAAAATTGGTGTGGTGAACAAACCACATGCTGACGTTTCTTGCGGAAAAAGGGGATTGTGAACTAATCGAAGCAGAGCTGGCAGATGTTGAAGTTGATTTTCATGGCGGTCGACCTCCAGAAATCTCGGTTTCAGAGTCGCAGCTGTCACTGTAGATGAAGAGGCCATGATAACAGAGGCAACAAATGGGACGTTCACAGGCACAAATCAACAACGCACAGATTTTTCTGCAACGCCTTGAGCCAAAGTTGGCGACATGTTCTTCATAGCAGAAAGCCAGGTCGCACATGATCTGCGTTTTTCCCCGCACCTGTTTCTCGCGTGGGTCTCGCTGTCGCTGGACGGTTTTTATACTGGCCCGTCGTCAGATGTGCTGCAGCTGACGGTTTTTATACTGGCCAGTCTTATTGTTTTTTTCCACAAACTTTTCTCGCGCTGACAGTCTCCACGACGCAAGAGCACGGCAAATCCAAGTGCCTCAGGCTGGGGAATGCCAAGAAAGACGACTGGGATGTGGGGCGGGAGCAGCCCCGGTGAGGGTGTCACTGAGCAAGGGGCAAGGGCCATCAACATTTGTGGAAGATGAACCAGGAAGGTGAAGTAGGCTGCACGCAAATGATCTCATGGCAGCTGCTGCCAGTAGGGCTGTCCATCGTGAAGTCCATGCGTGTTGGGCTGCCTTGCGGAGCAAAGGGTTGGTATCTCTGGCTCGGTGCTGGGCCAACATTCTGAGGAAGGTGGCAGCTTCTTCGCTCCAACGCCCGCCCAATTCCATCGCAAACACAACAAGGCGTGCTCTTCCTCCCTGTGTCAACTCTGGGTATGTTCTGGCTTTGCTTCTGCGGGCAATCCGGAGGGCTGCTCCGGCAGTGGCACCGTTGGATCGGCGAACCTGGGAGGAAGCTGTGAGAGGGGACACCAGGGTCGTGTCCACAGCGAGTTGTGCTCCGTGCCAAAATGGCAAAGCATTCGCGATCACCTCAATTCGGCGTTCGTCTGTTCGGTGCGTATTCGTGTTGAGGTCCCTCACGAGGACGTTTGTGCTCACTGCTGCACCGGCTTCCCTGCACACTCTTGCCATTGCTTTTTCCAAGGCCATCCCTCGCGTGCGAAGGGCACCGGAATGGGGGCAAGCGGCTCTGTGGTCCCCAAGCTGGTCATGTGGGCGATGGCACCGGCACCTTGCTGTGTGTGCGGCAAGCAGGCGGAGACGCCGGAGAAGCAACACCCGGAAATGAGCTGGTTCGAAGGTCAGCTCAGGGGATGTGGGCAGGAGTGTGAACGTTCGAGAGGCATGGGGGCCACGTTGTGATTCCAGGAGGGCTTGGCCTGCAGGGTCGGCTGATGCTTCGACGAAGTTGGCGTATGCTTGGTCGATCACCGTTGAAGCTGCTTGTTGCCATCCTCGGAGTTGCTGTGGCAATTCTGCTTGTGTGGGTGGGCCAGGTGGGGCGCACTCTGCCCAGGCCGGTGCTTCGAGGCCTAGGTTGCGCAGAAACTCCTGCACGTGTTGGAGGCATTGTATCGAGGGCGTTGCAGAGTCTACAGCAGTGGTCAATTGTTCCGTGATGTGTGTGAACAGGTTGGGTGACTTGCGCTGGATGATGGGGGCCACATAATGCCACGATGCCCAGTATGCTGCTGCTGTGTGGTGGTGGGCACTGCGGAGGCCGAGCCCTCCCTGGTCGAGGGCGAGGTGTGCTCTGTGGCTGGCGTGCTCGGGTAAGGCGCCGTGCTGGTGGTCGAGTAGCTGCGCTAAGCAGGCGATGACCGCAGCGTCGTGTGCTGTGGCATAGGTGCCTGTGAGGTCGGGGCGGATGCCTCGCAAGGCGTAGTGTGCGCGGGGGGACGCACAGTACAGGAGGAGCAGCCAACTGGTCTGTAGGTCTGGGAGGGTGGTGAGTGCATTCAACAGTGGCTGGTGTGCTGCTCTCATGTTGTTCAGCTCTGTTTGCACGTAGGTGGGGGTGCCCAGCGGGAGGCCAAGGACTCTGAGACCGCGTTTGTTGCTAGGCAGTGCCGTGTCCCCGACCCAAACGGGGTTGGAGGCATCCTGGCCGAGGCTGCGGATGTTGGCGGGTTCTTCCCCGGATGCGTTCCAAATTTGGGTTTTGCCATGGTGGAGTTGGATGTGAGTATGTTGGAGCAGATGGGTGGAAAGGCTGTCGAACAGGGGGCGGATGCGGGGTGGTGGTGCAGTGATGTAGATGTCGTCCAAAAAGGCCATGACGCGCTCTCCGGGAAGGAGGTCTGCTTGGAAAGCCCGCAGAGCGAAGTCCAAAGCCAAAGAGAACAGGGCTGGCATGAGTGGGTCGCCCTGTTCGCCGCCCTCTGCTTGGGTGATGGGATGGGTTTGGCCATGGTCGTCTGTCCAGAGGTAGGTAGAAGGTTGGCTGTAGAACAAACGCGCGAACGGCAGTGCTGCTTGTGCATGTGGTGTGTTGGCCAATCCTCGGAGCATTGCATTGCGGCTGACATGATCGTATGCTCCGATGCCGTCGAACGATAGCACTGTTTGTCGGTGATCTGT